ATAGGTCTTAAGATGAACATGGACAAAACAAAGATCATGTTTAATGTTCATGTCACACCTATGCCGGTAGTTGTTGGGAGCACTAAGCTTGAAGTTGTTGACGAGTATGTTTACCTGGGACAAATAGTCGGATTCAACTCGGTTGGGTAGCGTTCGGGAAACTACGGCACATCTTCTCGTCAGGTATACCTCAAAACTTGAAAATGAGACTGTACAACCAGTGTGTGTTGCCAGTGATGACCTATGGAACTGAGACGTGGTCCTTCACTGCTGGCCGGATGAGGAAGCTCAAGGTCGCTCAACGAGCTATGGAGAGGGCTATGCTCGGAGTTTCTCTGCGTGATAAACTTCGAAATGAGGATATCCGCAGTAGAACCAGAGTGATCAACATAGCCCAACGGATTAGTATGCTATATTAGTAAGCTGAAGTGGCAATGGGCCGGCCATATAGCTCGAAGAACCGACAACCGATGGGGAAAAGAGGTTCTCGAGTGGGGGCCTCGTACCGGCAGACGAAGTGTAGGGCGTCCCCCCACTAGAAGGAGTGACGACCTGGTAAGATATGCAGGAAGTCGATGGATGCAGGTGACTCAGGACCGTGCTTTGTGGCATTCCTTGAGGGAGGCCTATGTTCAGCAGTGGACTTGTGAAGGGCTGTAATGATGATGATGATGACACCGTAGTTTGTTTTATGTCGATGCTGTGATACATGTATCGTCGATTAGGAATCTAAATGTAGGTCCTTTATCACCCCTGAGGATTGAAATGCCTTATCAATAAAGAGAAGTCTCCGGTTCTCGATACTCACCATAAAAACATCGCAGCATCATATTGTGATCCCATGCTGGCATTCTGTGCGAGTGTGATTCTACCCCGGTCGAAACGACCTATTCGGCTGGCAGCAAGGCCATACCACGAGGCAGCGTGACTCTACAACGCACACACCTCTGCTTCATTTTATTGTAGATCAACGTCATGGGACCATAAGATCTTTTGTATACTCTGTTTAGCTAAGACTAGTGAAATTTAGTAGGTAATATATAAAAAAACAATAAAGGAAACCAACCTACAATTTTAATCATGACAGTATAACCGTTTCACAATAACTACAATCAACATTGCAGCCTTTTACTACCAACTCACATATTTCCATTTGATACGTTATTTTACGCGAGCATAAAGAAAACAATGACAACAATATAGCGTTGAGGTTTTATGGACTTGTTCCTCTTTTCGTTATTTAATGTTAGAATTTCTGTTTTTATGTTGGCTATGAGACGCAGGTTAATGTACAAAACGTGCAACGTTTAATTATTAAACGTAAAATCCGAATTCCATGTAATAACTTCGGAAATCTGTTTCTAAGTTCTTACATTTTATTACAAGTATTTATTAGTATTGCACGTTTTGTGTGGACTGAGCAATATCACAAACTCAAGGTAACAACTAGGATGTCTTTTCTACCAACTTCAAAAAAGAGGATGTACTCAATTCGACTGCATGTTTTTTTTATGTGTGTTACCTCAAAACTTTTTTCTGGGTGATCCGATTTGGATGATTCTTTTTTTATTTGAAAGCTGGTGATTCTCATGTGGTCCCATATAAATTTGATCTAGATCTGATTCCCCAGTATGAGGCAATCTATGCGGGAGGCGTATGTTCATCACTTTTAATAGGTTATAACGATAACGGTAACGACCAGCTATCTAATTGTGTATTTCAGAGACAGATGGTGAACATTTGTACCATATATTATTTTAACATAATATTATGTATTTCTAAAGTAGTTTCTAGTCAGAATTTCCCGCTGTATTGCATAAAAACATAAATTATCATCCATTTTTAAAATGTGTCGAAGTAACAGAAGATAACAACATAATTTAAAATTAAAAATTTTATACAGCCGACTTCAATATAAGTTATTAAGAATAACTCAAATAACTCAAAAACTATTGGTCTGACCTAGATCACACGAGAAGTATCAGCTTTCATATAAAAAAAGAATCATCGAAATCGGTCCACCCAGTAAAAAGTTATGAGGTAACACACATAAAAAAAAACATACGAGTCGAATTGAGTACCGTCTCCTTTTTGGAAGTTGGCAGAAAATAAGTAAGTCTAAGAACCGACCGACTAAGTCTTGTTTATGAAAAAAAAAGAACACAATGGAATCAATTTAATTTTAAACTAAATCGTTCCGAAAGTTCTTCTTTATTTGCTTATAGACGTGAGTTTTTTGAAGTTGCGAATACAAGTGTGAAAACGATTTCCCGAATTCGCTCTCTAGATAAGTGCTTTCACAGCCTTTGGTGGTACTCAGGGGAACAAAAAGGTGCTAGACGGCCCAAACTTAGATACAAATTGGAAATTACTTATAAATATTCGATTTATAATCACGAAATCTCCTCACAATAAATTTCGTTCGGAATTTGCAAGGGTTTGAAGTAGGTTTGAATTTTTTTTTATTACTCTTTTGTGTGGTCTAAGAAATATCACAAGTTCAAGGTATTACTGGAATGTCCTATAAATTGTGACATTAAAATGTTCATCCCCTGTTTGTCCCTGTTTCGTTTTTTTTCCTATTTAATAAAAAGAATCAGCCGTTTTCGGGAAATCGGTGAACATAAGTATTAGTCTTAAAAAAACACACGTGCCTCTTTTTTTAAACTCGGTTACATTAATGCGCGACGTCTGAATCTAATCCTATTTTCTGCCGACTTCCAAAAAGGAGCCGGTACTCAATTCGACTGTATGTTTTTTTTTTTTCGTTTTTTTTTTTTTTTTTTTTATGTGTGTTACCTCAGAACTTTTTTCTGGGTAAACCGATTTCGATGATTCTTTTTTTATTTGAAAGCTGGTACTTCTCGTGTGGTCCCATATGAATTTGATCAAGGTCAGACCAATAGTTTTTAAGTTATTCTTAAATAACTTATATTGAAGTCGGCTGTACAAAATTTTTAATTTTAAATTATTTTTTAGAGATTTCGCTGTAGCTTATTCATAAACTGCAACTATAATAGTTCGGTTTTAGGCTTTTCTGATAATTATTTTTATAGAATAAAGGTGATAAACTAGCATACAGTCCACTTAATTGTAAGTGGATAAGGTCATAGATTATGGAATATAGATAATGGATTACCTATCTTAAATTAAGAATTTATGCGCAGATGTGTCATCACTAATTTCCAATAAAAAGGGTCTCCAGATCTCTACACTCATCACACGAAACACAAAACGTAGTAGAGCCATGCTGCAGCTATATTACTGGTTTAGTTGTAGAAAGAATGGGTCGGCTCGGCCGGGGAAGGACCACGCTCTCACTGAATACCAGCGTAAATTTCTTTAATGTTTTATGTAAATGTGTATATTATAGGTTAATATAAATATACATATTCGTGCATAATATAGCTGTGGCGTGGCTTCACCACGTATTGTCATTGACTCTATTTGTTAAATTTGTCAGGTTTCGTCGAAATTCGTGAACGCCGTGTAATATTTGGAAGTGCAAAGCGAGCTTTTAAACCGCAAGGCGCTTGTGAGGTTTCTCGGATTCTCGTGATCTTATTAAAGTAATCTTTCGCCGTGTACTGGCGGCGTAAGAGAATCCACTACCAGATATCATCCCGTTGGTGTCGTAAGGAAACAGGAGATTAGCAGTTCCATCTTACTAATAACTTAAAATTAATAAAAAACTACGGTTTCAAACCTGCCTGGTAAGCGTAACAAAATCCAAACATGGCAAATATGCAATAATGGCAAGTATCCCCCTATGAGGCTATTTATGGGGGGTGGGGGGGGGGGTGTCTATGTTCAGTCGTGGACTATTGATTCATTGTAATGATAAATGATTGGCTATATAATTTTTGTATGTACTAGTATGTATATAATATAGTTTGACATTTTTACTATACTGTAGAACCGCCGTGATAGCTATGAGATGAGAACTTACCTAAAAAATTCCTAGTCTACAAGTAAACAGGATTCGACACCTGCCAACATTTTAGAGATGATTTACAACGATAACACCGTACCTACGTGTCAGAAAAGTTAATAAAAATATATATTTCGAGGACATATGACGTCCGTCACATGTATTGGACCAACGCTGAGGACTCCTTTTTGCTCCAGTAAACCTCCCGGAAACGTTAACTAAGGGCTAGAATACAGCATAAATATTTCTTTACTTTTTATTGTAGAAATCGTTTTTAGTATATGCATTCTGAGAAAGCTATTGCGCAAGTAATGATTACTTAAAGAAAATGTTTCCAAGAATAAATCACAATAGTTTATTTGACATAAAATGTTAGGTACATCTATTTCAATGTATCTATAGGCTCCGAAATTAAAACTAAAATTGTATTTCAGTTGTCAGAAAAGCAATATTTTGATATGTTAGAATAAATAACTGAAGCAGTGACTTGATAGTAACAACTCTTCATATATTGCCATATGTCCTTCCCTACATTATTTCCACATAAAGGTGGATCGTGCGTCCTTTTTATTTTCCATTCAAACTGGATATGGATATTCGTTACAATCCACAGCTGCTTTAACGGAAATATCCGGTGACCACCTGCCGCGCCCTCCCTTGGTGATCGCTCGACCGCAACCAACTGACGCTGCTCGGTTCGGTTCCCTTAATTCGTATAAATGATGACTTGTACAGTTGACTGAATATACATTAAAACAAATTATGTTGTAGAGTTGAGATTGCAGAGTTATAATATTTGTTTTGTGTGTTTAAATAAGCCATTTCTTTGAGCCAATGATCTTAATACTTGTAATATAATAAGCCAATAAAATTTCACCATCTTTTCATAATTGAACTATTGAATTATTTTAAGAACCAGGCCTCCAATCATCAGTGGCAACGATCTATTTCAAATACATTTCCTCAAAAAACTTCGACGCTAGCCGACGTGTGACACTACTTAGCTAAGATACTTTAAAGACCTTTAAAATTCAATTTATTTGTATTTTAAGCTCAGTATTTTTTGCAGTCGGAGCGAGTCGGCTCTAAACAGCCCGACGGAGCCGGACGTATCGCTTGCTGCCTCTCTTACTGACCCTTTGGAAGCTCATACCTTAGAAGAGGCTCGCAGAACCATAAGGTATTTAGAAAATTTAGTATTTCATAACACTTCTCAAGCGATGTACAAAAAAGTTCTTAATTAAAATTACGTAAAGAAACGTACGTTATATTAATAATTATTTTGCTGGTGATAACAGGGCTGGTTCTTTTCTCGCTCAAAGGCTAAGTATAGCCATTCAGCGGGGAAACGCAGCCAGCGTATCTTGGCACGATACCGCGGGGAGTAGGACTATATGATAATTAAGTTTCTAGTTTTAGATTTTTTTTATTATTACTATAGTTCTTTATATTGTATATAATAATATATTGTATATTATGTTATGTAAATAATTTTATAATTATTGTTATGTATGTTATGTATTTTCAAAAAATTAGTATGAGTATTTTATATTTTAAATATTGCCATTAGGCTTGAGCTAGTGTAATATAATTAGCCCGAGAACAGAAATACAATGTAAGGTTTATCTATTTATATTTGTAAATAAATATAATGTTCCTAATGTGGAAATTTTCGGTTTCAGGGATTTACGTATGAAGTATCGTGCCCAAGCGCATCAACTTATGACATGGCGTCGTGCGCACCGGACCCAGGAAGAGCTTTTGACCCGTTTGCAGCATGAAAAAGCCGAACAGTTGAAAACATTATCGAGTCAACTGTTGCTCTTCGAGTCAAGATTAGTTCGAAAACAGAAAGAAATTACTAACATGCTAGCTTTAAGAGAAACAATAATAATTAAACAGCAGAAAGTTATAGAAACTTTGCAATCAAAGCTACATGAAAATGGTATCGAACTAGCTCAACAGATCCCTGACTTTAGAGATATGCTTCAAGATACACATATCACTGGCGATTTTGATTCTCTAAACGACTCAGACTCTGCTGTTATCATGGAAGATGTTGATTCTGATTGCAGCAATCTCCCACTTGTGCCGAGATTCAGATCAACAAATCCTGATAGTGTCACTGTAGTGCGTTCCATTTCCGATGCTATAGATCCAAATGTAAAGTATAGTGTTGTTAGGCGATCGAATGGTTTTTTGCGAAGACCGGAGATTCTAGAGACCGTGTATAGCGTGGAAGAAGAAGCTGATGGGGATTCTACAAAAGGCTTAAGCGCTCAGAATAGCACCGAAAAAGAATTAAAGGACATGAACAAAACAGATGAACAGAAGTATAATGAGACCAGTCTACTTGCTCAAAGACGAGATAATTTTCGAATGCGAAGTATGGTACTAACCGCTGAAGTTAAAAGTATAGATTCAGATAAAGAAATATCTAAGCCCAAAGCAAAAGAAGTCTGGTCGTATAGTTATGTGCCAAAAAGAATGATGCCAGCAAATGACTCTGATGAGGAAGTAACATCGAATGCTGATAGCGATGAAGGTGATCCAGAGCCCAAATCGACTCATGTCGTTACCTACAATAGAGTTATGTCCAATCACAGAAATGTTACAAAACCAAAAGATGTTAAATACAAAAGAATTAACAAAGCGAAATCGAAAAGCTTGGAAGAATTGAGAGGAAGGCTAAAAAATTGGGTGGAAAAAGGAAACAAATTGTCAGGAATTCCTTTAGAGCACGCTCAGAGCTATGCTTGAATATTGTTAAAGTTCCTTTTAAATGTTTTTGTGTGCAGTGTTAGTGAACTATTTGAGCTAAAACGATCTCGAAGTACTTTATCGACTTAAATCTTGTACGGCTAAATGGTTATATATCAAAAAGAAATGTTCCAAAATTTTAAATATAGTCTTAATATTTAAAAAAAATCAAGTCTAAAACAGTCAGTAATTTCTACATTGTAAGTGCTGTTCAATTTACGGAAGTAGATAGCCTAATAACTAAGCTTTATGGATAGAATCAAATGATTCGAAATATTCTTGATACCACAACTTTTGTAAATATCTTTCTATAAAATATATTTACATTGTGAAACAGCTTCTAAAATCGACTATACTTTTCCACAAATATAAAGATTAAGGCTGTGCATATAGATATTTCTGCTACAAATTTTACGAATAAATTTAATGGTAATATTACCTAACCTACATAGGCTTCATCAAACAATTCAGATACTGTATATTATATTAGTTGTTTTGATTGATTTGTATTAAGTGATGTTGTGTATCATCTGATACAAATTATTTCCTTCCAATCGATTTGCCAATAGTTTTTGTCTTCTGTATTCATGTAATTATTATTTATATGTATAGAATTTGTATTATTTTGAGTATTTAATTTTTTTTTGTAATAGAAACGTTACGTACATACGCACTGTGATGTTTTCGAATCTGCAGTCATTTTCATTAATAATAAAAATTTAGATAGTAATACTTACCTAGAAATAAATCTGTCTTGGAAAAAATATATTGATGGTACACAAAATTATAAGAGCTTTGTCACACAAAGAAACGTTATCCACAAATGTTAATACCTGTGTTTTTATTTTATGCTATACCAGTCTTTCTGTAATAATACTATAATATGTAATACAGCTTATATAAAAATACAATAGAGTTTCAACGTGTACATGTGTTGGTGCCAATTAATAGATAATAAGTCTTTGTTTGTTCACATTTCGTCATTTAAAAATAATCCTTTGCCAAATAACTTAGATTGGATTATATAACTCGCATTTGCCAACAAGTTCTACATTGAATATACATATCATTCGTAAGCTATGTATCGCTTGGAAAAATATTTTATTATTCAGATCACCTGCAATGTATGTTTATTCCTATTAATAGTCAAAATGCTGATATTAAACTGAATTATGAATGAAATTTGTTTGCTTTTTTTTTCTTTTTATCCCTAGCATTAAGAGTTACACAACGCCACCTATACAGGGGTTATTTTTCAACACGTAGCCAAATTTTAAACCTAAGTTCCAATATATTAATAATGCTATACCGTCAGTTTTTGAAATTACGTATAAATAAGGCTAATACTTTTGTTTGACATTATCCCAAATTGATTGTGATTTATGGGCAACAACTACGCGCTGCTTGTGTGCGATTCAATTCACAATATTATGCTGGCCGACCGAGCGACTCTTACGATCTTACGAATGTGTGCGTGGTAAACTAGAAGGGCGTTGATTTTAAAGATAAAAAGACAGAACTGTTTGAGATTTTTATAAATAAAATTTTCTTCACCGTTTATATATTGTTTATTCTGAACCTTCTATGCAAATTTGGCCGTTTATTGCAAAATAACCCTTGGATTAAATAAAAAGTCTTCATGAGAGACTTATTGGTGACATCAAACTAATCTTACCAGCTTCGAGAAAAGACGCAAAGTAACCAGCCTTTTGGTTTTTACAGGATACATTTCGGAAAATGTGCGCAAGGATTTGCATGACTTATTTCCCCCCACTCCATTTCATCATCGGCCCATCAGATGTTCGGCTGGTCTCATTCGAACAAAACGATTTGTTTCAACGTTCAAAATGCTTACAACAAAAGAATGAAATAATCTGCCAGCATCTGTCTTTCCATCCGTTTATAATGTGGGTGTCTTCAAGGCAGGAGTGAATAGGTTTTTGTTAAGCTAAATCAGTGCTCTTTTCTATCTTCGGCTGCATCACCACTTACTAACAGTTGTTATAGAAGTTAAGCATTGACTTATAGTGGTAAAAAAACCGTGTGTATGTGTGTGTGTGTGTTCTTATGTACGCACGTAAGAAGTTATATTTCTTTAGCGTAACAAAACAGAAATAACTAAAATAAAACACGTTTTATAGATTCAGATATATTTGAATACCTTGAATATACGACGGGGACACTGAAAGTTTTTAGAACTGGTCACTTGTAAACGATATAATAAAAAATAAGTTCAAATTTTGAAAATGGAACTCTGCCAATATTATTGTGTATGTATTTTATTAATTTGTCATTTGTTTACGATTTGGCGGCAAATTGAACACTGTCCGTGTCACGTCAGCATGAATTTAACGCGAGAAAATTTTCGTACAATGATTTTTTATGACTTTAGATGTCATTTAAGTCAACAAGAAAGTTATGATAAACTTCGATTGACCTTTCACGATCAAGCCTCATCTCGTGCCACTGTTTACAACTGGTTTAATGAGTTTAAACGTGGTCGCACTAATCTCACCGATGATCTGCGTGAGAGGAGGCCTTCTACGGCGACGACTGAAGATAACATCATTGTTGTGCGACGTATGATAGATACTGACAAAAGAGTGACTTATTAGCAGATTCGGACAAGCTTGGGCATCGGTATGAGTCAAGTGCACAAAATCCTCCATGAACATTTAGCGGTCAGGAAGCTTTGTGCCTGGTGGATACCTCATAATTTGACAGAGGTTGATTGGTGTAGTGAAATGGTTCAAAGAATTAACGGACGTGACTCAAATGCTGTGTTCGACATACTTACTGCTTTTATAGAAATAGAGTGACAAACGAGCACACAGTCTACCTGATGGTAAGTGGTTTCTGTGGCCCATTGACATCTGCATCTATCCTCGTTTGCGAGTCAAAATGCAGATGCGTTGTCAGCCTTGAGGACTAAGACGGAATGCCTCTTTTCCAGTAAAAAGGGTCCCTGGTTCTCTACACTCACCATACGAAACACAGCAGCATTGAGAGCGTGGTCCTTCTCCGGTCGAGCCGACCCATTCGTGATACAACTATATTATAAATATAGCTGCAGCTCGGCTCTACCACGTAAGAAGATTTATTGTTATGATTTTGAAACTAAGAGACAGTCTGCTGTGTGATTTTTTCCTTCCGAGGAGTTGCTAACTAAAGTCAAGAGAGGCCGAAGCGTGGTAAAAAAGATGGTGGCCTCTTTCTTCGGAAGGACATGTCATTACGCAACAATTGTTTTAGAGGATCGAAAAACAGTTACTGCAGAGTAGTACACTAACAATTCTTTGCCACTTGTCTTGGAAAAAGTTCGGACGAAACGACTTCGCAGTAGGATCCTTCTTCACCACGGCAACGCGTCGTCGCACACCGCCAAGCAAACAATCGACTATTTGGCGACGTCAGACGTGTAATTACTGGATCACCCGCCCTATAGCCACGATCTCACACCTTGCGATTTTTATTTATTTCCGAAAATAAAAGAAAAACTTCGAGGAAAACCTTTTATGGACGCCGAGGAAGCAGTGGCTTCGTTTCAAAATCCCGTCGAAGAGACCCCTAAGGACGAGTGGGCAAAGCGCTTTTCTCAGTGGTTTTATCGGATGCAGCGATGTATTGATGTAAATGGACACTATTTTGAAAAGACACAATAAAACTAGTAACTTGCTAGTTTGTTCAGTTTTTGATTTTCTAAGAACTTTCAGTGTCATCCTCGTAGTTATTAGTTCTCAGGAAATTTGACAGTTGGCAGACAATTACCAACTGAAGTTGTCGCTATTAGGTTTCGGTGTGCGCGGGCATCGTAACAACTTCATGCTGTCGTTTTTAGGTGTCGGTGTGCGCGCGCAACGTAAAAAAATAATTCTCATAATTTTTCTTAAACGCGCCAAAAGAATATAACTTCTTAAACATATATTAAACTTTTCTATCAACAGCCCGTAAAAGTCTAATGGTGGACATGGACGGCAGGGCGTATTTGCTCTAATCGTCACGCTTGGCAGGTGGATTGACGATCGCAGTACCTGACGCTTTGCATTGCCTATTTTACGCCTGGCGTAAACGAGATGGTTATACTGCCATCTATTGAAAGCCGTAAGATTTTTCTGGCATGAAATTTAGTTGCCTCTTTAGGCATCCACAAAATGGGGTGATAGAATTCGCCGCCATCTGGCAGCACATAAAAATTATCTGTACTACGAAGCAAACTATGGGGGAGGCCTATGTTCAGCAGTGGATTTTTTATAGGCTGTTATGAAAATCGTAATGATGATGACGCCGCTACCATGCGGTCATCAATGAAGGTAAAAATATGGAAAAGAAATTTGAATAAAGAACTCTTTAAAATAAGCAATAGTATATAATGAGCGGCTAGAATACGTTGTGCCAAAAGAAATAGAGACCTGCAAAAAAAGAACTTAAAATAAAAAGTGAAAACCCACCTTAAAAACTTATTTTCCGGAGTCAGTGCTGACACAATGTATCGGGGAATTAAAGCCCTGACTTCAGAAGCTATTAAGTACTAAACTTTAGTAAAAAGTTCTTACTTTTTATTAAAGTTTATTTTCTTATCTTTTGGATCGACTAAGGAATAATTTATTTATTTATTTATTTTAAACTTCATATACTCATGAGGTATATAGGCGGACTTAATGCCTAAGGCATATATATATATATATTATATATATAAACTGTTACTATGATGATTCTGCCCATTTATTAAGTAAGTGTTCCCGAACCTTCATCTTGAACGCGTAACGATTGCTAGCCGTCTTGATTTCGAGAGGTAGTGCATTCCAAAGGGGAATAGATTGAATGTGGAAAGAATAATGAACAAGTCCAGAGCTATGGGAGGGATATAGGAGAAGAAGGTTGTTCGTAGAGGGGAGGTTTCTCTCATGACTAGCGCTAAGCAACTGAAAGTAAGGAGATAAGTAGGAAGGGGAAGTTGGAGACATCAGGATAGAATAAAGGGTAGTGAGTGCACGCAAACTACGGCGTTGACGATTAGGTAACCATTTTAATTGAGATCGATACGTGGATACATGGTCATACTTTCGAAGATTGAAAATGAATCGAATGCAGTTATTCAGAAGACGGTCATATTTGTTGAGAAGATCTGCATTCAGGTCGAAATAACACTTATCACCATAGTCGATTAGGGGAAAAATTAAACTTTGCACAAGCATTGTTTTGATTGCAGATGGTAGAAAATTTTTGAGGCGGTAGAGAGAACGTAGGGTACCGGTAACTTTCTGGCTTACGGTCGTTGCTTGGTCGTTCCAACTCAAGGTAGAATCAATTAATAAGCCTAGATCCTTCACAGTAGAACACAATTGAATTTCAGTACTATTAAAAAAGATAGGAGGTAGAGCTACTGTTTTCAATCTATTAATCATCCGACGGCTATCAATTATTATGACCTGACACTTCGAAGGGTTGACCATTAGGCCAAACCTGTCAGACCAGTTCTTAATAAACTCGAGGTCCCTGTTAATTATGTCCACCGTTGTAGAAATATTGTCAATACTCGCTTGTGTGTACAATTGCAAGTCATCGGCATACAGATGATACGCAGACTGAAGGTCTTGGGTAATGAGATTAATAAATATAGAAAACAACAAAGGAGATAATATGCCGCTTTGAGGAACACAAGCATGTATGTCAAGCCAGCTAGATGATAGCTCATCGATGCGAACCGACTGCTGGCGACCTCGAAGATATGATGAAAACCAACCCAGTGCTTCAGGTGAGACCATAGAAAGGGAAAGGATGGAAATTAGAATGTCATGACTGATGGTATTAAAGGCGTTCGAGAAGTCAACTAAAACCAACACGTTACTTTCAGGAGTGAAACGGTGCAAGACCGGGCCTAAAGCCAGACTGCAGGGGACTTAATAAGTTATTACAGGAGATAAACTGCGACATGTTGCTTGTGGACACAGGCCTCAAGGACCTTGGATAAGAAGGGAAAGATGGATATAGGTCGGAAATGATTGGGTAAAGTAGGATTAGGGATCTTTTGTAAGGGAATAACGTAAGCCTTACGCCACAAAGAAGAAAAATCACCAGAATCCAAGGAGAAGTTAATGATGTGCGAGATAACTGGGAGGATATGGTCAAGTATAAAGACAATCATCCTTCGGCTGATGTTGTCGCAACCTACAGC